CGCATCACAGCTTTTGTCCACTTACTGAATAATTTGATGAAAAAAATACTGATCTATACATTTCAAATCTAAATTTTCACCGTGCAACGCCGGATAACTCAGCTAGTATATAATAAATCCGTAACAACTCGAATTAACGCTACAAACAATGACTGACTGTCCGTACTCGACTTAACACTACAAATAATGTACTGTTTTATTCCTTCTTCTAAATAAGACGCCCCCATTGACACTGCGGTATGTCTGCGGACTTACAACCCTAGAAACCGGGTTTCGATACCCGTGGTGGGCAGATCACAGATAGCACATTGTGTTGCTTTGTGCTTCACTTCAAACAACAACTAAATAAAACTTTCTTTAAAGAATGATAAATTTAAAAACATATTTGCTAATAAACATGTCGTAAACAGAGGTTTAACAATTACTTACAATAATGTATTGCATAGAGAAAAATCATCTCTATGATATTTATATCTCTTTACTTTTACCACATTGTTTTTATCATTAGTGATACCGCCTGACCGTGAAAATTAAAGGGATAGTTATTGTAAACATGTTTGTAAGGAAATGAATAACTTATATGGTTTGCTTCCAATTGTAGAACAGATTTATCAAACAGATTAGATGATGTGTGGACTTTACATCCGGAATATAAGAGACGAGAATGAACGCCACGCCCTCTATAGGTAAATCGATCATTCGCTAGCCCTCTCAAGTTGTCACGCTGGGCACGAAAACAGTACTTTTAGAAAAGATGTTGCTTGAGACAGACGACTCATTGAAGACCACTGCAGTACCAAACTTTATTTAGAATATCAGATGTGATTAACATAAGGAAATTGGGATTATAGTTTTGTTAAATTGACCTTATAGAAAGAACGGTCAAATGATTTTCCTACTCTTAAATTGACAATATATACCCTTTTGAATCTCCGAGAAAATTACCTCAAAATCAAGAACTCTTGTTCAGATTTTCAAAATTCTGAAAACAAACGAGAATGGCTGGTTTTCTCTTGTTAAGTGTTATCGTTTTGATGAACCAGCTGCAACTTATTTTCAGCTATGAAGTAGCAGTCGAGAACTTGAAAGAATGTAAGTTTATATTTTGTATCGGAGATGAAATAAGGTTTTAGCTTTACGATATTTGTTTTCTTCTCACTGTATAGTGTTATATTCTCTTGTTAGAGTCCGATCGTTTGTAAGAAATAACAACAGCTATCATAACGTATACTCTATCACGTTGCTCAAATGAATGGCAAACCGAGTCCTCACTCCACTAGATAGTACTGTAATAGGCCCTGCAGTTGAGTACCTTCATTCCTTTTCTGAGCGTTAATATTGGGAAAAAGACTCAATCATTATTGCTAGTAAAAGCAATTTGTTTCACCTGAAGTCAGTCCATAGTAAGATATTTATGATGAATTAGTAAACATCTTAATAGCTTAATTATACTGTTTTATACATTCCTATAATATACTATAATGAGTATGGCATTGTGCTTATTTCTAGTCTTATGTAGTTAAGCTTAAAATGAGGATATAATCTTTTTAAATCATTGTTACAATTCAAATACTTCATATTCATTCCAATTTCTCAATTAAGTTTCAAAAGTAATCAAAACCTTTCAACTGCTGCTAAATGGAACTAAAATTTTCAACTTAAACAGTACCTTAAGTAAAGCGGCCAGATCAGAGATCCCTGAGGTTAAGTCATAACCATAACTTAAACAGCACTTTAAGTAAAGTGGCCAGATCAGAGATCCCTGAGGTTAAGTCATAACCATAACTTAAACAGCACCTTAAGTAAAGCGGCCAGTTCAGAGATCCCTGAGGTTAAGCCATAACCATTCATAATTTTCAACTGCTAACCATAAATAAGAGCCTGGCATAGCCTGGTGGTTAGGAGCGCTCGATTTGCAAGCTGAGGTTCGGGAGTTCGAATCTTCATTACCGAACATGCTGACTGGGCCAGCTACCCGGGTGTAAAACTTTTCTGCTTACAAAAATACCGTCTGATCCTACGCTAGATGGAAAGTAAAAAAACAGTGGGAAGGCAGCCAGTCGGTTGCACCCGCTGCTATAAATTCTTTGAAATATATTTTTTTTTATAACACACTCCCAGCTGAAACGACGGAACATGTTTAACGACATCACGTATTGTACCTTGGACCTTCCATCCGAATCCCGGCACGCTAACTACTCGGTTACGTCCGGTCAGTTAGACGGAACAAGCACGTTTAACAATGTTTGCTGGCGAAACGAAACTACAAATGTATACTTATGTACATTTATATTTACGTTGTTGTGTTGTTATTTTACGAATGATTGCATGAGTACAAGCTAGAGTTTTCTGAACCGGTATCTTTTATTTAAAACAGAGTGATGCATATTTATGTAAGGAGTATTCTTGGTATCAAGGTTCTTTGTTTTGTTTTCCTGTATAGGTAGTGTCTAACATACATAAAGAGTTTATTGTTGTTGTTGTTGTTGTTGTTTTGGATAATACACCATATTTATAGTATTATGAATCTTCTGGAAAGTATGTAAGAGAATAAATAAAATCCAAATAATCTAAAGACAAAAAGGAAAGTAATTAAATACAGGAGGAGCAGTTGAAGATTAATGGGATGATTCGTATCTGTTTAAAACTATAAAAAATTAGATTAATAAATTATGGACATTGTTGCTTACATGAAAAATTTTGTTAAAGTTCCGTTACCATAAGGGCTTATATTCTTACAATCTAAATGTTATAATTTGTTTAAGCCAATTTGAATTGAATGTCTCTCATAAAATGATAAAAATGCAACTAGAGAGAAACTAATCCATTATTCTTTGTAGAGATGTTGCACGGACATCACAATGCCGCCATATTGGACATCAAACTTTCCCTTCTAGCAATAAACAACAATCCATATCAATACAAAATTCGGTAAATCTTTACATGCTGTCAATGAAGTAAATATAGCTTTTGGCAAAAGATACGGATACGAAATTGTGGGGCTATTCAGTTTGACGATATATCTTTCTTTATGCACATCGTTGAGATGATTTATAGCGTAAGATAACACGATATTAGAAGACAAATTTGTCATTTTTCACCTATAATGAATGTAAGCACTTGACGTTCAAATACGGACTAATCCATATACCACCTGACTTTTTGACGTCAGTGCAACACCTCTATACCTACAAATAGTTATTCACTTTGATATAAATCAAATAACATTACTGTTTTATACTGATAGAGTTGTATATCTTCCTGTTTAGAAATAACATCATATATATATGTATGCATGTCGATCGTGTTATCCGTGTATAAAAGGTATATGTTCATATTTTCATCTGTTTATCCTTGGACAGTCCCAATAGTCATTTTATGATTAATTTCATATAGATAATAAATATTATTATAACACTTGATCGATGCACAAACAAATGAAAAGTGTTGTCTACAATGTAACCAACGTTGTTGTAGTTCATCCCACCTTGATTTATGGAAAAGTTTTAGCGTTTGTGTATTTGAGTTTGTTTCTTCTACAACAAAGCTGTATCGAGTTATATGTTGTGTCAACCGTGGGGAATCAAACTTCGGATTTTAGCGTTGAAAGTCCGTAAGCTTAACGCTTTCCCACCGGGACAGTGAAGAGTCGCTTGCTAGATTTGGTTTATAAATATCTTTTGATAATCTCTCTCTGTAAATTTTTATTTTTACAATCTCTCTCTCTCTCTCTCTACATATATATATATATACATATACCAGTGCATTAATTACAAAAGTAGTTATTTTTGATCTAATTAACTACGATGTACGAGTACTAATTTTGTTTTTGAAAAGATCATGTGATAGTTACGTTTTAAAAAATAATTTTAGAAACTAACCTGATGTTTTCAAACTGACTCAGTGATATACAATAATTGTAGGAGTTTCTATCACTTCTTGTGCCGACAGAATCGTGCTAATGTATTCAATTATAAACAGTGACTTCCAGAATGTTTGCTTTGAATGTTTTCATCAGTTTAATATTTAATTCTATACATCTGCACACACACTGAGTGGTCACAAGT